AACTCCCTCACCTTACCTCCCCTGTGTTACAGGGCTGGAGCAGTTTCTTAATATGGATGGGGTTTGGAGGGGATTAGGGATAGAAAGCTTGTTAAGGTAACTTAGTCTGACTGTCTCTGTTGGGGTGTCACTGCTGACAAGATAGGCAGGAATGCATTTAAGTTGTTTCTTTCAGGAACACAAATTTTAAAGCACAGGAGGAGGCAGTTAGGTGTGGTTTAATAGAAGAATGTATAAAATGTACAAAAACAGGTTTGATGACTTAAACCATCAAAAGTATTGGCAGGATTGTTTCCAATTAAACAATTCAAGTGTTGGGACACCTGTTGTTAATTACACACATGTTTACTTATTCCATTAAAGAGGATTCATTTTACAATCGTATTAATCATTATTGTTGCAATTGTAAATGGTTAATGGACTTAAATAGCACTTTGCTAGTTGTCTGTCAACTCAAAGAACTTTTAAACTTCATGTCTTATTCACTTATTTTTACAGTGATGGCAGAGAGTGCTTTGTAAAGTATCCATCAGTATAAAATCTATTGCATTCAAAAGCATTCACACTTTACTGGCTATGCCACTCGAGAGCAATTAAGTGTTTAGAGTCTTGTCCAAGGACATGTGGACTAGAGGAACTTGGATGAAACTGCTAATCTTCCTGAAAAATGATCAAAACTACAACTGAGCTTCAGCATGAATTTGTAACAGTTTGACCATGTGCCAGTTTGTCAGTTATCTGTTCTTTTTAGGATTTTTTTGTAGCATTTTTTGCTTTCTTTAGGACAGCTAGGATGGGGGACAAATGAAAAGAGACAGGAAACATGGGTAAGAGAGTGTGGATTAGAAATGCATCATGGTCAGTGCCAAGGTCAGGAGTCAAACCTGCAGCCTTTGCAGACTGTCTCCTTTGTATAAGGTATATGCCTGCTCTACAGACTGAGCTAAACTAGCACAGCTATGTAGTCTTCATAATTTTTGTTTATCTGGCAATTGTGACTCTTGTTTTCTGCATCATATTTCCACAGATGGACACAACAAAAATGAAGATAAGCTGCAGGAGTTCTGGGAGACCAGCAATCAGCCTGGTTTGATTGGACAGAGGCACATTTCATGCTCGGGTATGTCAAGCCTGATGCCATGAGACATTTTTTTAATAAAAGTATGATGTGTTGAAAGCTCGCCTTTCTTCTTTATTTGTTTCAAATACAGCGAGTTAAACATGTGGGTGTGCAGGATTTAGAGTTGTTTAAAGCACTTAAAATGAAGCGCCCGTCCAGCACCAAACAGCAAACTGATAAACATCATGTAATAAAAGAGCCTCACATTTCCCTGTGGGGTAGATAGAGACAGAGACAAAGACAAAATATAAATAATCTTTTTATTTTATTTAGTTTGCTGCGATAAAAGCAAAGCCAATATTGGACTTACTCTAATCAAATGTCAGGAAACAAGACTATGTATTAACATTAGTAATGTGTCATGTCTGCTGATTACAGAAAATAATAAACCACTGACCTACTTAGTTTCCAATGAGCAATCAAGAGAGAATCATCAGTTAATTGATAGACATTCATTCAAGGTTATTCACTTATCACAGACCAACAAAGGATACATAATATGTAAATCACCTGCAATAATTCAGAAGTTCTTCTTCTTTTCCATGGGATTCTTCAATGATTTCCTAATCAAACGTCTTAACAATCCTTGGAAGCACTGTTCTAATGTTTAACAAATAAAGTGCTTTGTGGCTCCAGAGGAAGCAGCACTCTCCTCAAATGAGTCTTTACTGAAGAGTGGAAAAACAACTGGGGCCGCGATGTGTGAAAGAAGTGAGTTATCAGACCTCTGCAGACCACCTTCTGCCATTGTTTCAGGTGAGTAGTCTCTGCTTGCTTACAAGCACAAATCTCTGGTGGAATGGTTGTTGTTTGAGAAGTGTATCCACCAATTTTTGACCATTTATAGACAATGTCTCACAGACAGCCACGCCACAGAGAGCTTCTCTAGAGGATGAAATATTTAAAAGAAGAAATTCCTGTTTACAGAAGCAGCGAAGTGACCGTTGTGTGAAGTTGGTATACCATAGCATCAAAAACAAGGGGGAGGCTGCCGTGGTTAACAAGTGACATTATCAGAGGTGAAAATATGACATGCATATTTTGATTCAGGTTTTAAACGGGGGGGCTCCACTCATCACAAAGAAGGCAGATTTTATGGAAATATCAAAAAATGTAATGTATAACCTTATAGTACCTTTTTTACATCTAAAAAGAGGGCTACATCCTGCAATTTATATTCCATATTTACTGTAGTTCAAAGAGACCCTATTTCTAAGATAACATTTTCCTGCTTAGTTTATGGCTTAACACTTCATTTCAACTTTGTTTTTTTTTACTAAAATTTTAATAAACATGCTGTTCATTTAGTTTCAAAGCAGGTTTTGGATTGTCTCTGTTAACAAGAACAAGTATTGCATCTTGCTTGCCCTATCACTGATGTTAGTTGATATCTTAGCATTTGCTAATTCCAGGGTCCTATCTTGCTCTGCCGTCTTGTCCAAACATATCACATCTGGCTCCAAAAACCTGAGTTAGTGACGAAACAAAATGTTGCAGTCAATACTTGGTCCACAAACAAAGTGACACCATGGCTAAGTCACATTCTTACATAACTACCGGCTGAAAAAAGGGACTTGGTACACTGTGTTCAGGGTTATACTGCCACTCAGACATCATCTGTCAATATTAACTTAAACCTGCTGAAAGTTCAAAACCAGAGCTGAGAAAGGAACTTTTCTCTGCTGTGATTCAGTCGCCCAGAACCAAACATCTTCTATGAATTTTTATCACCCCTGAAAGCACAATCAAAATCAAAACCGCCCGTCCTTACCCTACTGGATGGATGACTTTAACGGTAAAATGCTGTCAATCCCCATTAAATCAGCCTGAACACTGACTTTAACACACACGCACACACACACACACACACACACACACACACACACACACACACACACACACACACACACACACAAACACACACTTGAAAGTCAACTTGTTGTGAAATATTGAAACCTTTTTTTTTTTTTTTTTTTTTCCAAGTTCCGGATATCCAGGGAAATAGGAAGAAAAAAAAATTACGCTGAAACACAGATACACACACATGCTCACACTCTTGCACAAAGTGAGTGCTGACCGCTGGAGGCTGAGAATAGATGTTCCAAGTTGGATGCAGTTGATGTAACTATTATTTCTCCTCTCTCTCTGCTCTACTCTCCCCTGGTTCATGTTACACCTCTCTCGTCTTCTCTCCCTCCTACTCCTCTGCTGCTGCTGCTCTCTCATTCCTCTATTCATCTCCTCTCTCTTTCTCACTCTTCTTCCTCCCCTTTCCTCCCCTCTGACTAGGCTCAACTCACTCCAGTATTTTTAGTATTTGTGAGTAGGCGTCGCCAGGTCCTTATGAATTTTCATGGGTTTGTTTAGTGTGTAGGCTGACACGCTGCTCTCTCCCTCTTTCTCTCTGTTTCTCTTTCTTTCTATCTTGCTCTCTAACAACCACAACAGTTTAAGAACACAAGTGTACATGCAAACACACACACTCACACACACGTGTTAACTGTGTAGGCTGACTGTTGGTTAATGAAGTCTTGGGGAGAAGGATATTTGAAGTCTTTCAGAGAACCAACAGGGCCTACAGCAGGCTTGTCAAAATCAGCTCCATCACCCTCAACGTCCTCCATCATCCTTTGCTCCGACACCTCATCTCACTCTGACTAATGCCTCTTGTTTTTTTCTCCAGCCATGGGGTCTCTCAGATTAAGTCATTCTTAATCCTGGGAATTAATTACCCTACTTTATCTGCTCTATCTTACATCCTTACAGTCTGACACATGGTTGAACAGCCGACCTGATGTCTACGTTGCCCTTGGGATTGCCTACAGAAACATACACATGTATGTATAAGTTTGTGTTAAGGGTTGTATGTTTCTTCAGGGGTACCAGGAACATATATTCTGCTCTTGTTTGTGTTACAGTAATTGCACCGCAGCCCGACATGTGGGGTGGTTCAATTCTAATAATTAAGTAAGAGGCAGTGGCTCGTGTCTGAGAGTGTTGTCTCTCTCTCCATTAGCTATGAGCATATGGACCACGTCAAGAAGAATTAGGCCGCCGTGGTCCTCATTTCCCATCTCAGAGGAGTGCAAAGTCAGCCAAGGCCACACATAGATATATGTACATAATAATAACACACACTGTTTAGGCCTGTGCAGTGATGTTTTATCCTTATGAGCCATTTCAAAGTAACTGTGGACGGCTGCAGTGGGACTCCTCACATCTTTGTTCTCCGTCCTCCTTCTCCTCTTGCTGCAGCTGGCCTTGGCTTGTGACAGATCCTCCAGCCTCAATGTGTGTGTGTGTGTGTGATTGCGTTCGTGTCTGAGAGTGTGTGTTGTCTGTGTTCTCCTCTCTGCTCCCCTCTCCTGTCCCACTTCAGCCCAGATTAGAGCGTTTGTCTCCTGAGGGAGACAAAAATATAAAAATAAAGCATTTTTTTTTTTTTACCAGAAAACTGATATGAACACACACACGTTAAGGTTGCAGCCAACTGAGAGTGAGGCTGAGAGGCCTTTTGCTCTTTTGTATCAGAATCCCCCCAAATCCCTTTACGGTGAGTTAATAGACAGACAGACCGGTAGATATTAGGCCTAAAAAGCGAACAATTTGCTTTTTATTTGCAGATCTTAGCTAAGATCTCTTGCCTTAAACTTAATTTTTAGCTAAGGCATGGTTTTGGTGTTAATCTACTGATGTAACTCTCTGCAAGACAGCAATTAAGTGTAATTAATTATTATTATTATTATTATTATTAATTAACTTAAGTGACAGGGTAGACAGATGGATGGATAGACAGACAAACAGAATGTGAGGTAAATAAACATACAGATAGACAGACTGATAAAGAGACAGCTAGATAAATCAACAAGACCAAGACAAGTAGAAAAATGTAACCTTTACTTATTTACAGATTGTACAGAGGTACTGAGTGACAAGGTAGTATTTACAACACAACTAGTAGCTTAGAAACCCCTGAACTTATACACAAGTGAGATACACAGCAGGAGACCCACAGGACTACACACCAACCAACGCACTCCCTCCGCCCAGAACTGTGTATAACATGTGCACACCTGGGCCACACTCCCAACTGTGCTGAGACCTGGAACGTTTCGCACATGATCCTCGACAGTGCCCGTCATTGTGCAGGAGCCAGTTGGGGGCCATTTTGATGACATCACAGGCTGGGTGTCAAGGTTTTTTTTTTTTTTTTAAGATCCCAGGCTTGTGTCACTTACCAATTTGGCGGGGAACGTTGATGCATGTAGCCCTGGAGGTCAACTCAGGGAGAACTCAGGTGTTGCAGCAAAATAGGTACCACCAGAAACACAAGCATGTCATGCAAGTAAAAAAAAAAAAAAATCTGAGAAATCAAACAAAAGGTCGGTGTAAAAAATCTCTGTGATGGTGGACGCAACGAAACTCATTCTACACACTCTCGTAACCACGACAGTACTGACGCAACATGTGTGTCTGCATGAGCATGTGTGTGTGTGTGTGTGTGTGTTTGTGCATGTAACTGTATTTGTGTTTTATGAGTAAGAGCGGGGTCAAATGTTATGTGTAGGACGAAGGGAAGAGAGAACAGAAAAGTACACACACACACACACAAAAATACAACACAAACAAGCTCTCAAAAGAGAAATCATCCTCTGTCTTACATAAATGCCTGCCTGGTGTAAATTACACACACACACGCATGCACGCACGCGCGCACACACACACACACACACACACGCACACACACACGCACGCACACACACACACACACACACACACACACACACACACACTCGCTCTCAGAGGTGAAGCAGCACAGACTCGTAGTGGAGGAGAACAATGAGGGTGGGAGGGGGTTTGTTTTAACCACACATGCTGGACTCTCATTATTCATTGAATGTGCTCCAGCTATGTGCTGCTAGTTAACTAGTTAGCCTACCGATATTGTTAACAAGTCTCTTTAACCAGCAGTGAGGACTGTACAGTGAGGTCCCAACCAATGACAGACCAGAGGGAGGGGGAAGGGAAATAAAATCACAGGAATCCAAAACATGCCAGTCTTTTTTTTTCTTAAAGAAGCAGAATAAAAAGCCACGCTGTTATTGAAATGAACTCAACACTTAATACCATTCAAATGAAACAAATGAAATCAGTTTCTAACTTTTAAAAACAAAGATTCTCTGTACAGAAGTATAATATTGCAACCTGATAATTGTGCATATAACTCACACACCAAACCAAAAGAGGGGCAGTGTTTTACCGTTCAAAGGTGCATCTCTTTTTTTGTTCAAACTGTCTTGCATTCTTTGCGGCCAATATATATATAGATAAATGTCTGTGTGTGTGTGTGTGCGTGTGTGTGTGTGTGTGTTTGTCTGTGAGAGAGAGAATAGAGAGAAAGAGAATAGAGACAGACGCTCAGCTAATAGGATATCAAGTCCTTTTTCCATCAAAATCCTTGTGCTCAAAAATCAATGCCCTTACTCAGTGGATTATGGATTTCTAGCACACTCATATACACATTGCCAGCTTGTCAAGTGTGTGCATGTGTGTGTTTGAGTGAGTGTTGCCTCAGTAATAACGAGTCACTTTGCAAACTCTCTGCTGTGCCATGTGACTATCCCTGTTGAAACATAGCACCATGTTCTCGCCAAAGAGAGAGCCACATAAGAAGCAGCTACTCTGACACTTGTCCAGGAGCTCTAATTTGATCGGAAAAATTAGCAGAAAGTGATGCACACAGCCTCTAAATTCACGACAGGCCTTTTGTTCCACATGGATAGCTATTGGAAAAAAGAACTGTATCCTACCAGAGAGCCGGTATTCAATTTGATGAGTTCTTACAACTACTGATATTAAGAACTTTCCAAAGATTTGTTGAGTTTTTAAAAAACACCACGACTGAACTTCTAGTCTTCTGATACTCGATCTACGCAATAGAAGGAAGCAGGGAAGGAGCAAAAAGGAAAAAGAAGCAATTAAGAGAATAAACAAAAGCTGATAAAGGAAGAGGGGGAAAGGCTCTGGAAGGAGGGATGAATACAGTAAATGTTTTAGAAAAGAAGAGCAAAGATAAAGAGTTTCTTTTGTGTATACTGTATGATGCTTGTACCCATTATCTAACACTGTAAAACTTCTGACCTCACAATGGAAAATAACAGAACTGTGTGCCCTTAGCGGTGCCCTAAAACCCAATGTCAAAGAAAAAGAGAGAGAAAATAACATCTATCCAGCGAATAATCGAGAATGTTCATATTTTTTTAGTATAAAAGTGTTTTTGGTCAAACATCTGTGTTAGGTGGCAGGGTATAAAATCTACAAAGTGCACAAAGAAGAAGCTATCACATAGCTTCGACACACACACACACACACCCTATACTAATATCCTAGACTACTGCGTATGTGTGTGTGTGTGTATGAGCATATAAGTGTGTTTGTGTGTGTGCATATATGACCCTGTATAGGAGTTTAACTGTAACACAGGGCAGTAGGAAGCATGCATTATGACCTGAAGGCTAGCTAAGAGAGTAAGCAAGGAAGCTATACTAAGTCTTTAGATGTAGAAACACAAGAACACACACTCTCTTCCTGATACCGGCGGACATGTTTGGTCCACTTTTTTGGAATGTTCAATTATCTGACATCAACAATAACAAACAGTCACTAGTTTTATTAGTTCCCCCGAATAACAGACACAGCGTGCATGTGTGTGTTCCAGTGTTTGTACATCTGAGGGCAGAAGCTGAAACACTTTTTAAACCTGGGTCCAAACCAGCTGCCCGCCTCCAAGTCTGGATTATTACGAAGAGGAATCCATTCAAGTCAAAGATTACTCTAGTTTAGTTTACTACTCTTTAAGCCATGCTGGCAGTGCAGTTTGGAGGCTCAGACAACATACGGGTTGACTGCAGAAATCATAGTGCAACAGGAGAGTCCTGGAGAGGGGGCGCATGTGTTTTAAGGTGAAATAAGTGGGGTTTTGGTGTGTAATCTCAGAAACAAAGGGGTTTCCTCTGACTCCTTCATCTCAAAGAGGGCTGGTGAAAGGGCGGAACAAGTCGGCTCATCTTCCAAACACACTTTTTGTATCCCCCGGCTGATCTCACTGTCGGTGTGAAGCCTCGAGTACAGTGTCCCTCTAGTTTCAGTGGGAATTCAATCTGCCACGTCAGACTTATTGTCAGTTTGTGCCTCTTTGCCCACAGCTTGAGGTTAGAGCACACACTGACATGCACACACACTTTTCATCCTGGTTTGTGCCTCCAGGTGTCCCTGTGGCCCTGCCCTGCCCCACAGAGGCTGTGATAAAGAAACAATGATTTATTTACTTAACCTTTATGTCCAGAGCACATCTTCTCGTCTTTCACCTGTGTGTTTCTGTGTGTGTGTGTGTGTGTGTTTCTGCAGATGTGCTTAGAATCAGAGCTGCCTGTTCTCGACACACACAACTCTGTCTTGCATGCGTGCGTGTTAGTGTGTTTCAGTGAAAGAAAGTGTGTTCCGTGTGTCTCTCAGACGTCAGATTCGATGCTTGGCATGCGGCGGTAAAGTCGAGGCCGTGCGTTGCCGCCTGCGCTTGAGGCTCGCGGCGCCGTCACATAGCTCATTGGCTGAGAGGCAGCGGGTGAGACCATGTAGGCCACCACAGGGGGCTCCTGCTGAGGATAGAACACCTGTTGGTCGACATGACTGCCATGCTGGCTATTGAGATGGCTGCCATGGTTACCGAGGGTTAGTGAAAGGGGCATTCGCTGCTTATAGAGCTCGTGGGCAGAATTTCTCTGTGGCATGCATGTGACAGCCTGGGGGGCGGGGTCTCGTTGCGTTGTGCCAGGGGCTGACTGGAGAAAAGGGTTGTGCGAGGGCCGGTCCGGGAAGAGGCTCTTAGAGCGGCGAGGGAGAGGCAACGGGGTGTCCAGGCTGTGGTGATGAGAAGGTGATGGAGAGGGGGGGCTGCGGCTGCTGAATGGACGATCAGAGCGCATTGTGAGAACGTTAGCATAAGCCCCCTCGTCCAGGGTCAGCTCCCGATCACGTTCCCTGTCGGGCAGACTCAAACCCCGAAGATGTGTGTGCAGCTGCCGCTCAGGAATGCCGTCTGGAAGCACATTCTCGTAGGAGTGCTGACGACTCAGTTGGAGGTGTGGGGCCGATGTGGGGGTGGGGAGCGGAGATGGGGACGAAGGGGAGGGCTCGAAGTGGCTCACCAGACCGTCTCCTTCACCCACCAGACCCAACTCGCTCTGGGGTAGGTAGTGTGTAAACATGTCCCCGCTGTGTGGGTGAGTGTGCGAGTGGGAGTAGTGTGAGTGTAGGTGGTCTTCACTGATGTCATAGAGGTTTCCCAGGTGGGCGCAGGCATCGCAGCGGGCCTGAGGTGAGCGGACAGAGTAAAGACTGGAGTAACCGCTCAGCTTTGTCAGGCAGGAGCGACAGTGGCCAGGGCGAACCTGTGTCCCCTGTGCTGCACCAGGTGCTTCAAACGATCCTCCAGCCTTCTCCTTCACACTGAGAGGAAAGAAAGAAACACTGGTTAAACAAACAAAGTGCTCAAAGTGCACAAAACACGATCATGAAGCTATTTTTCCTGCTGATCACGATACCTGCTGTGGGTGTAGGTACTGTATTTCTTGTCCTTCAGAGAGTGCAGGTCGGCCTCAGCGCTGTGACTGTGATGCAGCAGACTGGCACTCAGCTGCAGAATGGGTGTGTCGCCCTGGTGGGAGTGAGCATGTGAGTATGTGCCGTCAGTTGGAAACAGGTCAGGGGGGTAACTGAGGTCGTCACCACCTTGACTGTCTCGCTGGTAGGGGGGAGCCGACTGCAGACTGGCCTGGTCTGAGTCAATGGAGTAGATCTTTGATCCTCTGCCCCCACCTTCCCCTCCTCCTCCTCCTCCCCCTCCTCCTCCTCCTCCTCCACCACCCCTCTTTCTCAGTTGATTGATTGGCTTGAACCCACCCCTCGCCCCCATGGAGTCAGAATCTTTGTGTGATGGTGGCCGGCTGGAGCACTCGGAGATGTCAGAGTGCGGCGGCTCTTCCGGCAGGTAGCGCTGGCTCTTCATCTGTGGAGGTCCGGGTCCAGATGAGGGGGCGGGGTTTGGACCTGGAGATGCAACAGAAGGCTGGGTCTTTAATGTCTCCACACTTTTCTTCCACAAGTTTCGAGGTTTCGAGGCAGTGAGCGCAGCCCCGGCAAGGCGGGTCTTTCCATTATCATTGGTGATTGACAGCTGGGGCTTGTTTGGGCTGGTCTGGTGAGGGGGCGCTTTTTGTTGCACAGGGAATGGCGCAGCATTGTTGAGGAGGTTTTTGTGCCGCCCGGCCAATGACAGGAAACCTTGCGGACCAGCAGCGTTGCTATAGAGACCAGGACCCTTCGGGGGCAGACCATGGAGTGAGTTACCTAGGAGACAAGGAGAGATGAACCTCACAGAGCAGATACAATAGATGGATGTTGGAAGGATGCTCAGCAAAACACTTTATCCTCTGCCCTGGTATTCTGTGTGTGCCATCTAATGTGTTTCTAATCACAAGACGAGCTCAGTCGTGACAGTCAATCCCATTACAGTCTCAAGTCCATGACAAGGTGAAGGGAGTCACCTTTAGATCTGCATACAAACACTGAATCTAAAAGACAGGGTAACCTCTGTACATGTGAGCAATCTTACCATTAATGCCTCATTTTCTTACTCTGTGAGGGCAAAATCTATGTATTTTGTTCAAAAAGTCATCTAAATATGAGTGAAAAAGGGTGAAAGTACCTTTCCCTGTCATTACATCCATGATGCTGGGCTGCACCAGGACTGTGTTCCGTTTGGGAGACGACAAAGCCATTGACTTGGCAGACTTGAGCAGATGCAGCATGTTGGCTTGAGGACTGAAGTCCAGCTCAGGATTTTTTTTCTTCATATCTATGTGAACACCATGGATGCAACTCCATATACCCTGGAGAGGGAATGAGCAAAGAAAGAAAAAGGAGAAGAGGAAATTAGAGGGGAGGCAGGGAGGACAGAGATAAGAGAGATAATGGAACAGTTTATTCTCAACCCAGGGACTTCACAAAAATAAAAGTTCAACCATACACAAGACTAATTTCCTTGCACGGTTAATTAACCGAGACCTCTTCATCCTCTTTTTTTGTGCTACATTTACTGCAAACCTTCACCTCATTTTGTTTGGCAAAGAGGCAGCAAGAGATAATCACCACTTTTTTAGATGAACCGCCTTCAGAGGCGCCTGCAAAATTAAATTTAGGTGATGATGTCACTGGAGGGGGCCTCTGAGTGCATGGAGATGTTCTTCCTGCGGCAACTCAACCTCTAGTATTGCTGCAACAGTATGTGCACACAGAGAGACAGACACACACTCACAGACACACAATGTGCTCTTTTTGTAAAACACTTAATGTGTGAAATGCTGCTCGTCTGGAATAAAAGCCCTGCCTAACACAGAGACATGACATATGAATAATGGAAGAATGGTCCGTCTGGGTGTGCCCATTCCTGTTTTATGTGTCTGTGTGTGTGTGTGTGTGTGCATCAGTGCGTGTGTGTGCGAGTGTCTACTGATGTGCATAGTGGTCAAGCCTGTCCCTTAGCACACCTTGGTTACATATGTGTTACCATTTATAACTTTGTTAGAAATGCTTGTATATGAATGTGAGTGGGTGAGAGAGAGATACAGAGAGGGCTTTTGTGTGTGTGTGTGTGTGTGTTTGTGTGTATTTGTCCGCATCATCCTCTAAGCTAAGTGTGACTCCTTGTTTATAGTGTACTTACTGTATGTGCAGCAGTAGCTATAATAGTTTTGGGTTTTTCATTGGCTATCTTAATTTAATTTTGACTTTTTTTTCCACGTCAGTTTAGCTTTAATTAGTTTTTAATGCTGGTTTGTTATTTTAAGTTGAGTTTTTTAAAATATGGGATACCTGTCAGTGAAGAGACAGAAAATATAAACATCATACAATTTCAGAAATTATATTCAAATAACCTTAACTTTAACATTAAGTTATCAGTTATATATTTGAGTACAAATAAAGAATTAAAATACCATTGTGTTAAGTCATGACTGATAAAATAGGCTTGGGTGGTCAGTAGCCTAACGTCTCTTACTTTAATGCTAAAGGTTCAAGTAGAAATGATTACTGGAGATATGTTATTGAAAGGGTAAACACATGCTTTCCTTCATATGTGCACACAAACTTCATTCCCCACCTTAACAAGTCAGCGTCCCAGGTTAGTTAGTTTTGTAAACGCAGTTAATTATATTTTTTGTTGTTGAAAAGCCTCGTTTTTATTTTAGTTTCAGTTAATGAAAATTTGGGATTTTTACGTTTTAGTTTTTGTTAGGTAGTAACAATCATAACATTGGTAAACAAATCTCTTCTTTTATCATACACGCACACAAACACACACAATCACACAACAAAACAGGCAACAATCATTTTTGTACATGTTTCATACATATAATCTGCAAATCATGGAAAGAAACACATAATCAAATATTGAAATGTTTCCTAAACTGTTGAATGTGAGATGTGAGTTTCGGCATTTACACAACTTATAAGTCCCTTCTACGTCGTCCTGTTTGCATTCAAGCACATCTGAGTCGACACTCACTGAGTGAAGATTAGGCAAATTAGACAGATGAAGGATTAAAAATGGACTGCTTTGCATAGGGATGCAATGTTTGCACTGATAAGACAGCAACAGAGGAATGGATTTTTAGTTTACTGTGTGATGTGTTAATTGATTTTGTTTAACACCACAAATGCTTGGCAGCTGTCCTCCAAGTTGCAATGATGTTTTTTCTGTTGATTTTTCCTGCTTCAGTATGTAACCACATTCAAACCTTTTTGATATATTTTTTTACTCCTGCTGAGCTCTTGTTGTATTTTAAACTCCATCAACATTAAAAACCATAAAAAAAATGAAACAGTATGATGAAAGCCTCTGAGCCGATGAACAATAAGGTTCAATAAACTGTGTGGCCAATGACTTTCTTGCTGTGTAAGCAGCTCAGGAGAACTGAGATTACGACCTGTTACTGCTGTATGTTGTAGAAAATAAAAGTAACTGAAACATATGAATTCATTAAACTGTTCAAGGTTGTGACGAGTTCACTTTCAAACAGGATTTTTTCCCCCACACTTTCATATGAGTCAACAACTTGCAACGAAGAGGACATCACAATTATTACCAAGGACATTCAATTGTATGTCTCAGGCAAAAGGACACATGACAAAAGCCACTTGATTACAGTAAACCTTCATCAGAGTAAAAAAAAAGTTTCCTAACTGCTGTAAATGATCCTACATTGGTTTTCAGTGTTTTTAACATTTATCAAACCCCTCTGTAGGGATCCACTGATAATGTTAGCCTCTACCTTTGTTGTTGTAGTTGAGATTTGCTCTTTGCAATCCACTCAAGTGAGAGTTTAGGCAATAATAGTTAAACCTATTTTTCTTGGTGTTATCAGGCTTTTAGAGTAGCCTGCAAGTTTAGTTTACAGTTTAAACATCGATAACATTACAAGAAGTTCACATCCAGAGACCTCATATTGATATTGCAACAACCAGTGTTTCTGAATCGATGCTGTTGCACTCTTGAGGAGGTTGTTTGATCAGTAAGCAATACAAATTCTACAAGCAACGTCTGAAAGTAATAACTCAAATGCAGAGCGGGCAAAAACTACTACACAGCAACCAGAAGTGAACAAGGTTCCTGCTGTGAAAATGCAGGTTAAGCTTATAGGAAAGGAAACATTTCATCCTCCTCACCCTGCTGATAGTAAACAGCAGTCCTGGCCTTCCCGTGCAGACTCCGGTGAAGCAGTATCTCAGCCTCCAGTAGAAAAGGTGTTCAGAGATAAAGGTGAGGATGGCGAGGCCCATGGCTGTGGCCAGCATGTAGAAGACACCCGCCATGTTGTCCACATCCAGCTGACTTGACATCACTTCGTTTTTCTCGTTGTGGCAGATCCCAGTCAGCCACTGGGCCTCCAGCTCCTCCATTTCACCTGTCGGAAATAAAAAAGTGGAAAAGAGAAGGTTTAAGGTGTTCTGAGATAACCAAGAAAAAGAGGAAAAGCAGGGAGAGAGGAAGGAGATGGGTGATGGAGGGAATAAAAAGAGATGGGTAGGGGAAAAGAGTGTGAGTATCATTAGGAGGGAAGATGGAGAGGGAAGGAGGTGAGAGAGGGTGAAGTGGTAAATAGATCGTAATGGAAAGGAGACAGGAGGTGGAGTGAAAAAGGGATTGTAGTTGGAGGAGGAGGGGGGGAACTGATAGTGATGGAGTGATAAAGAAAGATGGAAGGAATTATTATCAGACTGAGAGTGCGTTTTGTGTGTCACATGCGCATGCAGTCGTTTTTCCCTGAATATAAGGGCCGGTCTGAAGCTGAGCGCTTCAGGGGTTTTCAGCAGTTTGATTCCTGTCTGGCTCATTCTCTCTCTTCCATTCGCACCATCTCGCAGCTTATTTTACAGTGCAATCTGGAGGAGTAAACATAACGGACCGCGATGGGCACACACACATGCACACGCGCAAACACGCACGTGCACACGCACACACACACACGCACAAAAAGCCACACGGAGTCACACGGAGTAATGATGATGAAATGGTGTGTTAAGACTAGCCCTTGATAGCTTTCTAACAGAGGGGAGGGGGGGAGTGTTGGGGGAGGGTTGAAAAGGAGGAAATCTGAGCAATGGCCCAGCTGTAAAGACACTTAAAGCCTGGAGCAACTTTGAAACTTTATTGCAGGGTTACCGAGTTAATGCAGAATGTGTGTTAGCGTGTGAGTTGCTCTCACCGTCTCCTATGATGCCCAGTATGGCCAGATCCACCAGGCGTTTCCAGTAGGATCCCTTCTGCAGTGCGATGCCGTAACCTGTGGTAGCGAAGATGTAACCACTGCCGATGGTGACCAGCTTACAGCCATCGTCTCTGCCCGCCATGTAGTTCAGCACGGCAGCGTCGTAAATAAAAGCATCCAGTTTTCTGTGAGAGAACGACAAATTTGAGATTTGCTATCCAGACCGGGAATCACATGGTAAAGACTTCTTTTTTTCTCTGCTATATATGTATATATTCAGTATACAAATATTTTTCTATTATTTCATGATATTACCAAAGCAGACCACATTTAGTTAATATAACATGGGAAGACAACAACACTTTTAAATAAACAACTTGCTATTCCTTATCATAACAAACCTGTGACAGCATATGATATTGGTATATTGGAATATTTCAACATTTTTGGAAGTGTACTCAGGCACTTGTTTGAATTTGTAAAATGAGTTGAATATAAAGCTACAGGTAATTCACTTCAGTCCCATCTCACATTGAATTTGCTACGCATCAAGAGACAATGGGAAGTCACTTTCCCAGGTCAAGAAATGTATCCAACCTGAAGTTCACATCATCCCAAAGAGTCCCAACATAAGTCCGAGTGGTAGCGAGGGATGGTAAATGGACTTGAGCTTGGATTTCACTTATCCCAAAACGGTTTTGACAGGTCACACTTACCCATTCACACCACGATCCCGGTGATCAGTAAAGTGTCCATCAGTATTAACTTATTAACTTATCCACTGACACGCTGCAGTGCTGACACAGCAGTGGCAGTAATTTGGGCATAAGTGACTTGCCCAAGGACCATTCCACATGTGACTGGCTGCAGGAGCTGGGGATCAAATCCCCGACCTTCTGGTTGAGAGATGCTACCACTTAGCCACAGCTGCTCAGAGTTGTCAATGTTTCAAAGGGAATCTTTGTTAACCTGCAACCCTTCCTCTGTACGTCCATTGAGATATATAACGTAAGAAAAGCTTGCAGGTTTTACTGATGTTCTCTGTGTCTCAGTGGTTCAACTGCAAAGGCCATTTTTGTTTTGGGTCATCGTCATGGTAAATTTGAATCTTTCTGGCTTTAGGCTATAGGCTATTCAGCTTGGCTTTCTTGTCTCAGACTCCTCTTGTATGACAAACTTAATTCAAAACTGTGCTACCAACAGAAACAATGACTTCCAATATAAAGACTGCAGAGGATGTTATGAATCAGAAAAGATTGTATATTGTTAGCCAGAGTACACAGCCAGAGGAAGGCGGTGGCGGTGGCAGCATCCAGGCAGGTATTTCAGAAGGTATTACCTGCAGTGCTCAACAAGTCTGACAGCTTTTTCAGTCAGTGGTGCACCCACTGAGAAATGTATCGCTAATTGACTGTATTTCCTTGTAGGGGTTGTAAATGGTGTGGCCAGAAAAAAACATGTAATTACAGAATAAACAGATACTTTTCTGTTTTGTGGCTGCATGTGCGTTTTTAAATGTAAATCTTTAAATGATAATACATTTCATGTAATGTTTACTGTAATGACTATAATGTATTTAGGGCATTTAGGACCAAAAGACTCAGTTTTGGCTACAAAGTTAATTACAATACATACTTTGTTGTGGCTGTAACATTTTTCCTCAGATCCTTGAACAAATGAGCTGGTTTACTCATAACTTTCTGTTTTTTTGAGCTGGATATCTCAGCCTGAACGTGGACTGTGGCTTAGCCATTTGAATTCTGATACAGTAAATATTCATGATGCACAAAAGAATGCTATTGTTCACACTGAGCTGTAATCTTTTACTCGCAGGTTTTGTCATTATTCTGACATGACAAGCTGAATTCAAAGTATGGGACTGTAATTTGTATCTGACGCTACAATCCCTTATGTGGGCATGATATGGCTGAGCTCAGCCAAAAAACAAGCTTGATGTATGACTGTTAACCAGACACAATGAAAGAAGAGCTGATATCACAGGACTGCTGTACGTAGCTGCAAAGCCTCTATCATGATTAAATTATAGAGAAAATATATTTTTTTATACAGCCCATTGAACGAACCCTCGTGCTAATAAAGACCCCTTGGGCTTCCATATTAGATATGTGAGTGTGAATAAAAAAACACTTTGAATTAAATCATTCACCAAAGTGCATATGTTAAATAGGATCACTGAGCATCTGTTGTCCCAAAGATGTTCAGAGATATTCAGACTAATACTATAATTAATTTAAGGGCCACAGCATTTGAACTTGTTTTTAGATAATTTGTTTGTATTTATTTAGGAAATGACTGAAATGTTAACAAAACTTAAAATATTTTGTTCTACCTAAAAATATTTTGTAAAATAATTAAATAAACAGCGTTGATTTGGCTGAACACATCAACTATAGAGTTTTAATTTTGTATTAATTGGTTCAATTTGTGATGCAGTATCAATAAAGTAATTGCAGGCCAAAGTAAAAAGTTAAATGTTATGTGGCGTAAATCCCTAAAGATCAAAGCACACATAACTAATGAACAAATAAAACCACGGTAGTTGTCCTTCTATTAGTTTGTGTTTAGGAGCGAGAAATAGAGAGCAAACTCCAGAACAAATTACTCTGTCTCTGTTTGGGCAGCTCCTTCTTTCCAGCAGCAACAAGATGAAATAATAAGCACTTACAGGCAGAGTCTGCATTTTACTTTCAGGGACAGAAATACTGAAGGAAGAAACTGCTGCATTTTAGCATGAGCCAGTGCGAGCCCTCCATGTGGCCTGGTTTCTGTGTGATGCAATATCTTTTTTGTGTTTGTTTTCACATGTTTGTTGATACATGCTGTCAGAAAACAGAATTATCCTCTCAGGTATAATTTGTCTCAACTTGAAGTTAGTTAGCTTGACAAGTTTACAGTACCCGGTCTTGAGGCTGACTAGCGCGTCCACGACGCCGGTCTGATGGTATTTGGTCATGTACTGATGCATATCTGGATAGTTCTTCCTGATGTTGCGCTCAGTGCTGCCGTTAGGAACGGTCCCAAAACGAAATGGAGGGGAATAGGAGTATGGACTCTGAAACTGTGGGAGAAAAAGAAGGAGAGCAGAAAAGAGATGGATTGTTAGAAGAGGGATCTGACAGGAGAAGGAAGAAACAATGAAAAACAAAAAAACCAAACCAAACCAAACCAAACCAACAAAGAGGTTAAAATACAAGGAACTGGACTGAGTGACAGCTAGACAGGACAAGGTAAGCAAAAAACAAGGGGAAGAAAGGCATTACGTGTAAGACAGCGAGGAAAAGTGTGAGATGCACAGAGAGGAGGAGAGTGACAAGAAGAGACAGAGGAGAAAAGAGGAGGGATAGACAGTGGAGTGGACTCATCAGTCATCATCATTGTGTGTCCAGTGTAGCGTAAGAATGGCTGGGGTTCTGCTGACACTGTCACACACGCACACGCACACACACACACACACACACACACACACACACACACACACACACACACACACACACACGTCTTTGATCTATGCAGACTGAGTGTGTGAGTGCCCCTGGGTCTGCTGTGCTGGCAGTGTAAGCATGGTGACAGCAACGGCCAGCGGGGTTGGACTGTTGAAGCCCAAGGGCCCTCTCCAGAGAGTCCTGTCTGGCCGCAGGGCCACATCCATTACAAAAGCAGCCCTGACTGTGAATGAATTTTGTTTCTTCTGAGTGTATATCAGTATGTCCATCTGCTGTAATCCCACCTTCTTGTCCGACAGTCCGGTAACTTGGTCCACAAACTCTTCCTGTATCATGAAGGCAGCCAGGTTGGCAGTGTAGGAGGCCAAGAAGATGACAGCAAAGAAGGCCCAGACTGATACGATGAACTTGCTGGTGGTGCCCTTTGGGTTCTGCACCGGCACAGAGTTGTTGAACACCAGACCCCACAGCAGCCATATGGCCTTACCGATGGTGAAAGAAGGACCGTGTGGGTCTGAAAGAAAGACAGGCAGGGCAGCAGATGGAGAAAATTAAAAATGCCGAGCACAGAAGAACCAAGAAACTCTAGAGCATACAAAGGAATGTGAAATTTTAAAGTCACATTTGGCTGATTAAGGGTTGGCTATGTGATAGTGTAATAATGTACACTACAATATATTTTTTTCTCCTTTTCTGGGAAAACGACTGGCTTACTGTTTGCGTGTGTGTGCTGCCGAAAAATGTTGTCATTACAGAGATACTAATTCTTTCATATCAGACCTGCCACTGCAAAAACGTATTGATAACTAACATCCTCAAAATGAAAAGTGCAGAAAAAAGCTTTAAGATGCATGATGAGGGCAACATGTTTCCTTCAGGGGCAGACATTGTCAACAAACTTCAATGTGACGGTTTGTCAATCATTTTCTATTCACACTCACGTCACATTTTCATCAGTCATTGTGGACAATAGACATTTGCGGGGCCACAAGCGATCAATACTTTTATCAATCAATAATTGAAAATCAAAGGTTCTTCTGGCCAACTAAATTAACCTTTACATAATCAAGTCAAATACAGGATGTTTGTCATTCTAATATCCTCATTATAATAAGTTCATTCCAGCAGGAGGGTAGTAATGCACATTGAATTAAACTCCAAATGGTAATCAATAAAAAAAAATCTTTAAATCAGTCATCGTAAAGGATTCCACCTCCTCATTCCTTACTTATTACCCCTTTCCAAACCGTAATGGGTAATGTTTCATATCGTGCATGTCTTTTGTAAACTGCTACTGGATGCTTTGAATTTCCCTCAGGATTAATAAAGTATCTATCTATCTATCTATCTATCTATCTATCTATCTATATATCATCATGTTCATTTACATGTGTAATGTTTCTTCACATAATCATTACTATCATGTGTTCTATCACTCCTTGTCTTGTATCATGTAGTATTTTCTGTGTGGACGTTACCTGGAGCTTTCATAATCAGAGCCTGGTGCTGTGACTGAACTGCCAATACTACTGTCAATAATGCCATTACGTTATTTGATTGATTCTACCTCTGTTCATCCTTCTTTTAGGCACATTTTCTTTGACTTGAACCCTTATCCTCTTAATACTTATATAACACTTCATGTTTCTTGTTTTCTCTTATATTTGATGCTCTTTTGATTTTCTCCTTGTACTGTAATATATCATTTAATTTCTTAGGGCTGAGTTAGGCTGTGGTATGTGTGTGCAGAAATAAGCCAATATGCGGTTGCCTCTGGCTTTGTATTGTTGTACAGTCATTAGTCATGGAAAGAAAGAAGTTTATTTTTTAGAATAAGGTTCAGATCACAACACCTGGATTGGCCTTCAGCTCATCTGAATGGTAAATGTCATTTTCTTAGATCAAAACATTCAACTCACAGACAGCAGTGCAGCACCAGGTTTATTTCGGATGATCTCTCCCATTTAAGTATTGGTGACTGATACACTTGGACAAAATTGTTAATGCTGAATTTTCTGAAATCAGAATACTAACAGGTCATTCTTTTGCTCCAGGGGGGAACCTAGATTTGTTTGCTTCTTGCTCTGTAGAGCAATGATTGGTGTTATATTCCAGATTTTCCAGATGGATGCCATCCTACCTTTGCCTTGGGCCAAGTTGCGGTTGAAGCCCAGTGGACTTACAAACTCAAAGAGGAAGACGGCGATGGCTGTGACGATGAGCAGCATCACAAACATCATCACCCAAACTGAAGCACTGAAGGGCTCTAAAAAGGACGGAGAAGAGAGAGAGAGAGAGAGAGAGAGAGGGTGAGTTTTCTTTTAAAGAAAATGAGCACATGAGAGAGACACAGACACTGAGGAGGAGCAGAAGATGCATGAAAAGTGAGGGATAGAAAGGAGGAGATGGACTCAATAAAAGACAAAAGAGACAAGGGGGAGTTAAAGGGAGGTAAAGATGATAGACACGGAGATGGGGGAGAGGGCGAGACAGACAGAGGAGGGAGGGAGGGGAGGAGTGGGAGAGTTAGTCACAGAGAGTTTGACGGAGCAAATTTCCATATTTCTCATTATTCCCTTGGATGAGAGAGGGAGACGGAGAGGCCTGGAGCGGGGGAGATAGAGGAGGAAAGGGGTGGGGGGGGGAGAAAGACAGTAAGAGAGAGGAGGAGAGAGAAGAATCAAAACTAGTGATCTGATGTGCCCTGTTTTGGGCAGGTGTGATTTTGAGTGTGTGATCATGGGTGTGTGTGTGAGAGAGTCCGCATGTGTTTGGTGTATATCAGGACAGAAGTTCAGAGAGCAGGATGAGTGCAAGAGACGCGAAACCTAGACAAATTGTATGTGTGTGTGTGAGGACTATATGTGTAAGTATATGACTGCCAGGGTTAGCCAACCCTGAGAGATTGTGCACTGAGGTGCCTCTAATATGAGTGCGAGAGATACTGAACCGTCACTGATACCCTGGCCCAGGCTAAACACACACACTCAGTCACACTCTCACACACATTAATACAATACACTTTTATATAAATACACACACAAAGAATTCACCCCTTAGCATACATACGGCCAAAGCACACTCGTTCTCCACACATCCTTGATTCAATACACAAACGTTCTAATACATTCCCGCTGTATCACACACTTTTTTTTATTCATCTTATACGCACGCATTCTGACACATGGCTTGACACACAGGGACCAACACACGCATGGTCTAATACACACCCTCGCTCCCTGTCTCGCTCCAATGACAATACAATACATTAGGCGAGCATGGAGGAACGCTTCAGTTTCTAGTCATCTACACAACTGGAGGAGGAGGAGAAGAAGGAGGAGGAAGAGAGGAGGGTATCAAGAATGCTTTGTCTGTAGCTGAGTTTTCAAAAGACAGCTGGCACACTCCTCTTCCTCTGCTCTGCTAGAAATATTTATGTGCTTAGGGTGCTGAGGCCCAGATAAAGTCAGGGTACAAGTGGAAGTTGGCCAGCATATACTGTCTGAATAAAATATTCCATTTTAGGCAGGGTTTTGCCAGCATGTCAGCCCCTCCCTTTTTTCTTGTTTCTTGTAGTAGTCTGCTCACCGAGGGGATAGTTGGAGAAAAGAAGAGAGAGAAAAACAGAAGTGATTTTGATTTTGGGAGACATAACTGATAGATTTACCGAGGAAGGCAGACGGAGAGACGGTCCCATTGCTTCGTGACACCATGACGCTGATGCCTGTCTCCACAAAGGGCACGGAGAAGTCAATGGCCTCTGACCGCTCCTCATTGATGGTCAGGGAACCGACTGCCATCACCGCCTTCTTATACACCACCTGGTCGACAGAGAGAACAACAGTAGCAGAGAGTGCGTGACTAAAAAAACCTGCACGGCCAGAGATAAAACAAGTTCTGTAAATATTTGGACAACTTCAGACAATTCTCCTTTGAATTGTTCCCTTATTTTTACTGGTGATTTGAAATATCACAGTGACTGAGGGTAGAAGCACAGAATGTCATCAATAGTTGGAGGGCATTTTCAGCCATATCACATGAAAGTAAAAATACAGCTGTCTTTTTCATAGCCAACATTTCTGTCTAAATGTCTCCTGAAAGACAGAGATTTTGCTCATACAGATGTCATTTTTAGTGAGCAAATTTTAGAATTTTATGTTTTCAGATCAAATTTTCTAAACCGAGGCCTCTAGCTACCAGCTCCCAAAAAACATTACCGCCATACATGGATCATATTGTCAGGTTCCGTTATCATCAGACATTTGAGTTTCAGTGTTGACCTTTAATGATTTAACTGTGACAGCACTTAGCCTCCATTTAATCTGTGAATTAAAAAATCATTCCAGAAACACTAAAAATCTTTAGTCTTTAGTAGTCGTTTGCATCTTCAATGAGAAATGTTATCGACCACATAAAATACATTTAGGTATATAATAAAAGGTTGTGACTTAATGATGACAAATTTTTCTTTTTAGTGTTGCAGAAGTGATCGCATTTGAAAAACAAGAACCCTAACTACTTCAAAAAAAGACAAACCCTTTATATATCAGAAAGCAATTACCGGTATATCATACAGTTTATTTTTCGTACGTCACAACGTGTGTTAAAAGATGCATGAATGGATATAAAGTCGCAGCTTCCAGTCCTGTGTCCAAATGTTCTGGTGGTATTATGACACAGACCTTTTTTGTTTCAAATTGGAGAAAAGAATGAAGCCTTACAGGATAAATCTGGCAATAATCCACCATATTCTCAAAGTCAACAAATCCCATGAAAAGACCAAAGCATACAACGAACAGATTCTTCTATTTAGTCTTGTGTCTCTACCCAAAGCCGGTTATAGCTTATTCATCTGTGCAACAAACCTTCATTGTTGTATATAAAAGATTAAAAAACACAACAGTGAGACACTTCTCTAGCAGGAATAAATAAGCACAGGGCCGAGTGCCACAGACAGGACATGGATATTTGATTGTTTTTGTACACAATAAAAGATAACAGAATAAAAACAGCATTAACTTTCATAAATGTGAATACTTTAATAATAATATTAATAATAATTGAAAGTAAATTCCTGTAGAATGTAAAAGAAGACAGATTACTTATACGTTGCAACCTGTGAAAAGATGCAACATAATTCTGTACTTAAAATGGCATATTTATTTGTAAGACATTGTGTGGAAAGATGTAAACCAGATTTTAGTCTTTTAAGAGCCAACATGCCCACAGAGAGCTTTGGATTACGCATCACGAAGGCTAAAGAGCAGAAAGATGTGTTGAAATATGTCTGAGCAACGCTGTTTGATAGATTTGGCCTGTCATAGACTATAGCAAAGCAGCACACTACAATGAAAAGCGAAGCTGATACATCATATAGATCCAACCCTAAGAAGTGACTGCTGTATCACCCCTGTACAATCATTCAACAGCTGGATGCTTTACAGCTGCAGGTGGGCAAATCCTTGAACAACGAGACAGCGCTTCGTTGACTCGCCTCAACAGCGCCTCAACAGCGCCTCTTTGCCTCGCCTCAACAGCGCCTCTTTGCCTCGCCTCAACAGCGCCTCTTTGCCTCGCCTCAACAGCGCCTCGTTGCCTCGCCTCAACAGCCCCTCGTTGCCTCGCCTCAACAGCCCTCGTTGCCTCGCCTCAACAGCCCCTCGTTGCCTCGCCTCAACAGCCACTTCCTCCCAGTTTTCAGTGTTTGAATTTAGCTAAGCTAAATTGAGCTAAGACAAGCTAGCTAAGCTAAGCTTGGCGAGTTGAAAGACTTCATAAAAGTAAAAATTCAGATGGAGCTGCTCACTGTATTGATGTTTTGTTGTGCTTCATGTTTGTTAAGATAGGAAAAAAGCAAAAAAAAAAAAAAAAGGGTTTCCTATTAATTACATAGAAAGTCATAGAGACAAACTCTATAGGCAAAGCAATAACGTACCTCTCCAACCATGCCGTTCCATATATTGTTGATCTTCTTGCCATGTTTTCCATTTGTGACCAGGTAAAGGTCATAGGTGAACTTGACGTTCCGGGCAATCTTCTTCAGAATGTCGATGCAGAAGCCCTTGCAGCACTGCTTGATGTAGGAGCCTCCTGATGTGCTGTTACTGCAATACAGAGACACACAAACATATGTGCAAAATAATTAGGTCATACTTCTCCATATTAGAGGACATTTCCCGGTTTAAGAGGCGAGTGTGTGAAGTGTGAGTATAACTGTACTGCTTGTTCCTGCTCACTCCACATCTGCTGGCTCGATCGCACAGTAAAACTAGAATCATGACAGTGCAGAGTAACCATAAATACAGCTAAAGGACAGAAAGAGCTTGTGCGGTGTGTGAATTTAACTATGTGTGTATGTGTGTGTGTGTGTGTGTTTCCCTTAGTGCCTGAAAACTCAGGGGTACTGAACAGATGCTGCCGGGCTTTAAATAGAGCTGGGCTCTGCAGAACAACCAACCCACATGATTAAAATATCAGCTGTCCTTCCCCACGTCTCTCTCCACATTCCTTTTTCGCTTTCCTTTCCTTCCCCCTCCTCTGTTTCTTTGATTCTGTCCATAAGGAGGTATCTCTCTTAATCTTGCAGCATACCTACACACATGCAGCACCACAGCCATGCAGAGACGATGCACAGACTAGAAAATTATGTTTAAGTAAACTTTCCTGACAGCCATCCCCAAGGACCTGGCAGCAGTGAGCTAATCTGAATTGTCGGATCAAATGATTCTCATGATCTATTAAACCCTACCAGCATTTTCAAAAGTATTTTCATGAAAACTTTATTTCATTCCCATGTCACCCATCTTCTGATATAGCATGTATGGATTGGAACAGCAATTTCTGTGACCTTTTCACTTAACATTTCAGCTGACTACGATCCAAGAAAAAGTTTAAGAAAGAACTGAGAGAATTGCACACAGAAAACACAGGGAGCAACTGTCAAAGGACCAAACCGTCAAAGGATTAAAAGATCTTTTTACAGTTAACTGTATCTGCAGCATAATGTGTGTGTGTGTGTGTGTGTGTGTGTGTGTGTGTGTGTGTGTTTGATAATGTGTATGTGAGAGAGAAAGAGGGCATTGTATTTATACATACATATGTGAGAGTCAGTGTATGTACAGTAAGTGCCCCAGGTGTTTTAATGCACACGTACTGTATGCATTAGCTCTTCCCAGCTGAGCCCTCTCTGTGTCCTTATGTCACTATGTAAACACAAACACACAATCACACATAATTACACATACTCTCACACAGAAAAAAAACAGACTCTGGGAGATACACATACAGTACATCTGTTCAATGCATGTCTTACTTTTGTAACAACAAACACACAAATAAATATGGAAGTAGTGACTGAATAAACGCAGTGCTTATGGATAATTGGTTGTATGTTCAAGTGTATGAACACATGGATGGATGGACATCTAAACAGAAAATGTAACGTCAACAAAGGCCAAGGAAGAAACAGGTCATCTGGGCCTGTGACCACTCACTCATGTACATTGAATCCTATGCAATTTATCTAAGGTTGGGAAAACAGTTGACGAGTTTAACTGGTAACACTTTACAACATGGCGTACAACAACATAAGTAGCTCCTAAAGAATGAGCCAGCAATGAATCAGAACCAACCTGATCAATTCATGATTTGTTCTAAATAATTCCTCAATTCAACAATGAATCAGCCATTTGGTGGCACAGCTAGTAATGACTCATGAAATTCTAATTACTTAATTATTAGTCACTCTATTCGTGCACCCCTTAGCTAAGGTGACACATCATACTGAGTAGATACAAAGGATTAAGTGCAGATATAAAATATAACTTAAGGGGGCACATGAAGGCTCAGTAATGAGATATGGTCATTGTAAAGTAAACAGGAAATATTTAGTAACTGTTTAAGTTGATAAAAAGCCTTTGGAGATTCAGCTTGAAAAAATTAAAAGTGCATGCATGATTACAGTTGATATTATCATTAGAGCCATATACTGTGATTAGAACCTCGTTGACGAGAAACAATGACTACTATTATCATCGATCATTAAAAAATGATAAGGGTCTCTCAACGATTCATCCATTATTATTTCTTGCAGGGTACTGAACCCACATTAATTGTCAGGACTAAGGGTATTGTTATTGTTGATGATCTGTGAATGGTTTCTGCATTTTCTAATAATAATAATAATAATAATAATAATGTAAAACATCTTAAATGTAAGGATATTCTGCTGTTCTTCGTCAATCATGCTTAAAAATGAGTGTTTTTGTTTGACAAAGAAGCACTTTAGTGTAGAATACAGCTGACACAAAGGGAAGTGGTTGATCGAGTTTGTTTGAAAAATAAATAAAAAAGCTAATAAATCTTCAAAAAGAGTAATTACATTTGCAATTCCAAAGTGGGTAGCCCAGCCAATCTTTTCCTAAACTAATTACAATCTGAAGGAGATTTAAATGTTTCCAATTGTCTGGCATAAAATTTGACATCCATTGAGAATAATACTGCCACTCATGATTGGAATATAAATAAACCCCCAAATATATAGTCTTATGTTGTGAATTTTACCTGTGTGGCCAAGTGATCAATCATAAGCACAATGGAGATAAAGTACTGAGCCTGTCACACATAAACCTGCAATAATTATGATTCATGTTTACTTACTCTTTACTGGTTTTATACAGACAAGCTCAAATATGAGCTCAATGGGAGAACATACTTTGTAGTAAAAAGCTGCCATGTATTGTGACAGAGCTTCTCAGTGAGGTGTCAATATACAGGAGATAATTGGAGAAAGCCCAAGATGCTTAAAGAATCTTAGGAAGGTTCTGAAGAAAAGTTTTTACTCTTACTCACTTTTTGAAGCTATATATCTCTGAACTGTTCGCACACAAGGCCTTCAACACATTTCAGCTACTATAAAATGCATTTAAAGTATTTTCAAAGTAAAACTTCCCTCATATTGTTTGACGTGTGGCTGAAGAAAGAATCTTTCAAAGTAATAGGCCATGTTGATTATTCAAAGCAGACATTGTATGGAAACACTACACTGAGGTTAAATCTTAAAATATGCTTTATCAATTGACACAAGCACAAGCACAATTACAAGTGAGACTATACATTAAATGTATAAATGAACACAAAAATAGCTAATTTGTGGCTTAATAGATGTTTTATACATTTGACATTTCGTTTGGTTGTGATGTGAATTTCAATTACTTTGAAGTTTGAACCAAAAAAATGTGTGTTAGAGGAAGATTTAAGGCATGCAGCCCAGTGCTGTTGCTGCAGCAGAGAAAGTGATATATATGCAGTCAGGTGGTGAGTGGTGAGGTGAGAAAACACTGCATATAGATAGAAATAATCCTATTTAATGAAGAAGATCAACAAAGTCAATGTGAATTTGGTAAACATTTTGATCTAATTTGCTGATACTGTTTTACAAGCAACTTAGTGTACTGATAACAGATAACAAAATATCTCTGTGATCCTGATGTGAGCATGCCAGAAAAAGACATGCTCAAATCAAGCATAGAAAAATGTAAGTAAACAGTTCAAAGGGATGTTTTTCTAAAGCAAGTGCAGGGAGAGGATGAAAAATTGGGATATTCATTCAGCGGAAAGAGTCATTTTTTAAGAATGGGAAGTATAAAGTAATGCTGCTGTCCCACCTGGAGTGGGTAGGACATTTCACTATTGAGAAGCAGCAGAAAGAAGAGTCAAGGCCAGGTGAAATGATGATGAAGCTGCCGCAGGGAGTGGAGAGCTTAGCGGCTGGTTGTAGTAAAGCATAGAGCACAGGCTGGTGAATACAGGTAGACTGTAGCCTGCAGATACAAGCATGTGACTCCCAGAGGAGCCTCTACTGCCAGGACCAGGAATTTAGAATTTGATGTGAACAGCCACTGGCAGCGAGTCAGGAGGAGCGACAGGGGGTTGGGGAGGGGTAAAAAAAAGAACTTGGGGAGGTTGATGACAGGGCAGACAAGAACATTCTGGATGTTTTGTAGCTGCTGAACAAAATAGTTTACAAGCCATGCCTGGTGAGAGTTGCTGTTGTCCGGATGGGAGATGACTTAAAGGTTTGGCAGCGTCCCAAATGAAACATCTCTCAATTTTTTGTCTCCAGGTGATGCTCAGGCAGGGACTTCTTCATTTACAGTATTTTACAAAAGGGACACTGAACATTGATGCACTTACAGTAACTGTGAATTTGCCAGTAAGATAACTGGTCATTCTTATTCCTGGTTTGGAAGCCAAATAGCAGGGATTTTCCTAGCAAATCATTTCCCTGTCGGCTAAATGCAAATTTAAATTCAGATAAATCGATTAGTCTAAAGGCAAGAAACCACTCAGCGAACAGTCAAAAGTAAGCACATTTAACACTGCTAAACAAATTCCAAAACCATATTGAAAGCACCAAATTAAATAGTTATATATTATGCAACTCTACATTTGATTTTGAACATTAATCACGACTGAATACTAGACGGATCATAGCATTAAAATGTTTCTAAAGGAAATTCAAGTTATGCAATTTAAGGCTACAATAGTATTCTATCATCTGCAAATAACTTTTACTTTGGATTTATTGTTTGGTGTTTATTAGGGAGGTAATGATACCTAGCAATATAATTAAAGAACAATAAAAATATGGACTATTTAAATCGAGTCAACTAAAATATATCTAGCAGGTGTTGTTCTGGGAACAGTGAGTAAACCTGTCCAAGAGGACCTGAGAGGTCTGGATGCCTCTTAAGGGACTACAAGATCTGAAAGGTATTTTGGTCCAAGACCATTTAGTGCCTTATAAACGAGGAGCAGGATTTTAAAATCTATCCTTTGACTCACAGGAAGTCAGTGTAGAGATCTGAGGGCGGGTGTTATGTGTTTTACCTTCTTGGTGTTAGAGTGGACTCTGGCAGCATCGTTCTAGATGAGCTGCAGCTGTCTGATAGATTTTTTAGTCAGAACTGTGAAAACACAGTTACAATTATCAAGCCTTCTGAAAAAGAAATCCTTTGATTCTTGCTATATTTTTAGCTGGTAATAGGTTGATTTTGTCACCGTCTCTATGTGGCTATTAAAATTAAGATCCAAGTCCATAATTACACTAAGATTTCTAGCTTGATTTGTAGATTTCAGTGACATGGAGCCAAGGTATGCACTTATTTTTAACCTTTCTTCTTTAGGGCCTGAGACAAGTTTTTTCTTAATATAACTGTAAGAATTTTGGCACAACCACTCATTGATTCCTTCAATAGACTTACTCAGTGAGTGTAAGGGACTGTAATCTTGTGATGACACTGAGATATAGAGTTGTGTGTTATTTTCATACGCATGGTAAGAGATGTTATGGTATTGCAGAATCTGGGCAAGCGGGAGCAGTTAGGTGTTAAAAAAGAATGGGCCCAAGAATTGATCCTTGGGGAATGCCAGATATTATTTTTCTACACTCAGATTCATAATTACCAAAAGGACAATGAAATGGTTCCTTTATGTTACTATTTTTTAAACCAATTCAGTACAGTACCAGATATGGAGCAGTATGTTGTGGTCAACTGAGTAGCACTGACATCAAGTATACTTAAAACTGTGACGTCTGATGCATCACTGCTCAGATTAATGTAATTTAAGACGTGTGACATGTGACTGAAGAGAGCTGTTGACTTTCTGCAATACTTCTGGTGATTATCTGTTCAACATTTTTTTTAAAGAGGTACCTGGCAGCGTGTCAAGGCTGCAGGTAGTTTGCTTTAAGTGGTTAACAGTCTCTGTTTGAGTAGTGTAATCTTGGAGATGGAATTGTTCAAACTACCAGGTAATACTATTCTACCCAATATGAAATTAGAGACTGTATGTATTACGGTCAGGATTTTGTCAGAGAAAAAATATGAAAAGTCATCACATGACTAATTGGATAAGACTTCCCGTGGGACTGATGCTGTTGGTTTTGTCAGTTTTTTTTACAATATTGAATAAGGTGCGTGAATTATTCTTATTAGTATTCATCATTTCCGTGAAAAAGCATGCAGAGCACGTTAAAGTTCTAGGTTATAGATGCAAAGTCTCTCTTTACGAATCTCATAATGAGTCTTGATTTTTTTTTTTACACCAACTGCTTGTCTACATGCTCTTTTCTGAACATAAATAAGAGGTGTACAGACATGACAGAAGCAGAATAGTTTCAGGTTTAGAATATGTCTTATTTTAAAGAAGCAGTGTAAATTGAGGTCAGCAGAAAGGGGACAATACCTTATCTGGGTAACACTGGAGGCTTGAGACAAGAAGTCAAAGAGCCATAGACATTACTACATGTATTTTTGATTAAAGGATTGATGTTTGAGCTGATGTTTAAAAAGCTTGAGCAAGTTTTATGGACCGAACTTTTTAAAAACATGAATGATAACTTACAATAGGTCACAAAAAATTGAGAACATTCAGTGTCTACTGAAAGCTTTCTATCCTTTAGTGCCAGAAACACAGGCTGTAACTCTTTAATCATGAAACTTTCTCAATTTGTGCTGTACATGTATTTGATGTTGGATTTGTTTTAAAATTATTTTCTTTTAATTACAAGAGACGTTTTGTAAAAAATGTTTTATTAGTGTCACTTTTAGAAAAGAAAAAAAAAGGCATTCAATTATTATTAGCTAGATGACCTACATTAAAATGTATTACTTACATTCACACAGAAAAAAAGGAATAAGGAATCCTATTTGGAATTGTTATTGTCTAAGAATTTGAATTAAATAATTAATAAATTGACTTCAATCTCATGTCTTTATAAACATTTAAAAATCATCAAAAATCTTGATAAGTCCGTTATGTCTTAGGTATCTCGAGTGCATCCTGTATATAATTCTAAAAAAACCTAAAGGTTCATCTTTCATCGTCTCTCGTGTAACATTTTATTTATGACCATCATGAAAATAGATAAATGCAGCTGAGTAAAGTCTTAAAAAGTCAAGATTAAAAGTTAGACTTGAATATTTGGACCACACTCCATGGGTCACATAATCCAACACAGCCAAAAAACAGGTAGAGAATGAAAAACCTTACCACTAATTTGTGAGGTCAATTAAAAGTACAGGAGTTGAAATATAAATGATCATTGTTATTTCAGTATCAGAATTGGTTAAATTAACCAGGTGTTCCGTTGATTGTCACATTCAAAGACTAAGATTGAAATGTTGACTGAGATTGCACGGCCTGCTCCGACCCCACGTTAGTGGCAATGAAGTGTGGACAACAGGAACGTGAGGAATACAAAGGAGAAATTGTTCCTGCATATTATCCATATGATTTTTTGCAAAGCATCTTGAGATAACAGTTATGAATTGGCGCAATACAAATAATGATTAATTGACTGATTGATTAATTATCTGGTAATATTTTAAATAATGTAAGTAATGGGGAAAGAAATTAGATTAAAAATCAAATTAAAAGATACAAATATTAAGGACATGCAAGCAATACAAGAATCCGGAACATTAAGATCATGGATTGACAGCAATATTTTACTACAATTACTGCAGAGGAAAACACTAGGCAGCAATTTTACTTAGGAATTGTAATACTTGCAACATGCAGCACATTCACTACATAAATACAGCACACAAAATCACACTGTATTAAAGGAACATTTAACCAAGACCACATTTGGAAACAAGCAATTAAAGGAGTAGCAAAACAACACTGACAGACTGGCATTAGCAATCTGACAGCAACAGAGGGCAATTAATTATTAATACTGACAGAACTGATTATCTGGATGCCAGACAAGAACTACTTCTCTGTATGTGTTGAAGTCTGTGACAGAAGTTGGGATTGAGTTTTACTCCTGTACAACACCAACAGGGGCCATAAAATACTTGTAATGTGTGGGGAAATCAGTGATTAACATCTTGGCTTGGAGTTGTTCTGTATGAATCAGAAATAACTACACAGAATGAGATGTGAATACTTAAATGTGTATCTATTCTCCTGATAAAAAAAAGGACCTCTGGGGCTACACACGACATGTACAGTATGTTATGAACACTGAGTTCTAATAGGGAGCACAGTGTGTGAGTGTAGTATGAGCTTGTGTTTCAGTATGCCCATGTGAATATATTACATTGTCTGCCACATACATTTGGATTTCAGTCTGGAGGACAAACAGATGGTGAGTCATTATTATATAAAGTAAAAATGAGTGGGCCCAGTAGAGAACCTTGTAGAACAAAAGTGGACAAGCAAAGGGCAAGTGATTGACAATTATGTTCTTAGACAAACTAAGTTTGAAAGGTGTCAATTTATTTATCTTTTGTCTACTGGAAATCATAAAAGCAGATCTAATTGGGTGTTAAAAAAGTTGTCTGAGATCAAGGAACATCATATTTTATCCAACTGAGATCTAACTTGTTCTAAGAACAAACACATCCAACTCCTCCGGATCAGGCTTTGTCAGCTTTTATTTTAGTAACTTGTGTGGTTTTTAAATGGCTCTTGAGCAGTGTAGGTGTTGTGTATTTGTTCAAAATAATATTACGTGTGTCCACTTACTCTTTGACATGCTTGCGGCAGGGCACAGAGTTCCTCATGCAGGTGCCAGTGAGGATGTCCACATTGTCCACAATTACAAAAGGCTTCTCCTCCAGCGTGACAATGGAGAGATGGTTCTCATCTGCATCCTCGTCCCCGTAGGAGTTATACCTTGGCCACACTGGGAACATCAATGCCAACGTTCCGTTCTCCCAACGGCCCATCTGTGTTGTGCAAACACACAACAAGACAAACACATTCAGGAATTGCTGTCTTAATTAACGTGGTTTGACATTTTTATTCCCTTGCTGTTGTCGTTAATCCACTGTGTCCATTTGTTACCTTCTCCCACTTCCTTTCACTATTCAAGACGATGACAACCAATTTGGGGTTGGCCTGGTAACCATCTGGAGTAAAGGATAAGTCTCGGCCATCGTTCCATACATGCATCATGTGTCTGAAACACACGGGAGGGGAGAAAGTAGGAAGTTGTTATTTGCTTTTGTTTTGCATCTGTTTGAGTGTTTTCTGAGTGTGTTCACAAGAGCAGATACATTTGAAATAACAAGTTAAGCACTCTGTAATCACTGCAAGAGTATCCTCTTCAAATCAATGCTGTCTTCACCCACTGCGTGTGCTTGCATGCCATAGTGTGTGTGTGTGTGTGTGTGTGTGTGTGTGTGTGTGTGTGTGTGCATCTGTTTTTGTGTAGGAGGGGGAAGAGTCAGAGGCCAGATATCTCTCCCATCAACATTCTGCATTGATTTCTCCACAGATATATGCCTGAAAGACAAGCAACTGTTGCAAAAGGCTGCCCTCACTTTGTTACTCACTACAGTTATTATGCATACGCAAACAGATCCTTTGCAAAAACATTTACACACTCGCTACAGTGAAGCAGCAGAGAAGAGTAAATGAACCAGTGTCACACACTGTGTAATGGGGATTAAGAATACACTTGCTCCCGGAAAACAATTTTTTAAGAAGGGAAGGATATTCTGAGAGGAAAGGTTGAATAATAGTATGAATTCCCGCTTAAGGAGCAGAGGGATGTCTAAGGAAGTTTACTCAAAGTTCCAAATCACAACAGCAGCTGTGATAAAGAGAAATCAATTTTGTTCCTATGTGTTCTTTTTGTTTTTATTAGAAATGGCCCAATTTCTTTTGACACAGTGTCAAACAGCAGGGCTGGTCAGGGATTTTCTTCCAGTGTAATATCATCAGACAAAAATAGATTTCCTGAAAAAGCCCCAAAATCTGCAGCTTTCAGTTATTCTGAACAAAAATATGTTTGAATTAGAAACTAGTCCACATTTACATATAGAGAGAATGATCTTCCTTACAAGTATTTCCTATCATACTTGTATTTAAAAACATATTAAATAGGTGCAAAGGTTTTCACAGCTTATTATTCTAAAGTGATGAGTTTAAAGGACCAAAGAAAATAAACTCCTGTTCACAATTTGAGCAGGACAAGGCACAGAGGCAGGCTCAGGCATAAACTAATATTGCGACAGGAAGTCAAGATGCATCAAGCAAATCATTTGAGTACTGTTTAGTGCTCGCCCTGCAGATGAAAACTATGATAACAACACTGATTCAAACAGGTAGGATTTTGTGTTGTCCCATCTGTAGAAGGAGTATCAGAGTTGACACACATATTGTTGCAGTGCGGTGGATTAGCCAAAGGTACATTTATCATGTGTTTTTATAAAGACTGGGAAACAGGCCTTTACTCTTTCAAATCAGGCTTCACTCACGCTAAATAAAGACTAAATAAAAGCCCCCTGTGTCCCACGCAGACATGACAAAAATACCAAACAGCTCTGCCAGGTGTATAAACTCTCTAAGCAAACACATATTATTTGAAATAAACCTACAAAGTAACAGATTAGAGACTCATCTGTGCTGTTTAATAGACACTGCCTTTGTCATTATAGATTACTATAGTTTAACTTTAGACTGTTAGTGACATAGATACGTGTTTTTGTGTTGGATAGTCTTCATGGTGCAGCAGGTGATGGCCTTGTCACAGTGCATTGCCACAGCTGAATACATATAGCGGAAACACTGTGGCAGTCTATTCCGGGAAACTGCTGTCTCCTCCTATTTCAGGTTTGCAACCTTTTTTTGGGGGGAAAAGATTTTGATCTAAACGGATGAGGCTGGTGTTTCTGAGGCAAGTTAAACAGGCAGATTATACCTCACATTTGTATTCACATGTAAATCAATGCCATTTTGTGCTCCTCTGTTAAGTTTACACAACTAAATATCCAGTCAAATAAAAAAGAATAGTTCAATGTTTTCTACAATACTGCATTCAAAATTGTTTACATTTACTGGATATTCAGTTTTAGTTTGAATTGCATCAGTAGACATGCAGTGTGTCCTTTCACGACTGTCAGTGGAACATTTTTCTATTATTGAAGTACTTCCTATTGTGTGACATCTCTAAAAGTACAAATAATGAAAGATGGGAGGCTTTTTCTAAATCCTCTATTCAGGCAAGGCGCATCTTTTCAGAGAAAAGTGACAGCTTAGGGGGTTGCATGGTACATTGGTCCCTTCAAACAGAATAACCTTTTGAAATATACTGCAAGGACAAACCTCAATAAAAACCCTTACCATTGTCTAGCCCAAATACGCACAACCAAAACTTGATATATTAATGCCTGTCAGGCAAGAATGGCAGCGAATGCAACGGGCCTGATAGTGTCTTTTAAGTGCCAGATTATGTTGTCCTATTCCACCCCACCGCATGCTGTTTTTATGCACACTGCGGCAAGATTGTATCTAGACTAATATATGCAGAATTCTCATCACAGCCTCACCACTTCCAAATCAGGGAAGGGAAATCCAACCTGTCAGTTTATTATCACAAAAATTGGCTGCAGTTGTTTTGACAAATATGCAAATTCGATCTAATAACTTAGTGAGACAAATGAGGCACCTCTGACAGGAACTAAAAATAAAACACATTTTCAAAAAGGGTTTCAGCTCCTTCCTATTGAGGTTCGGGTTATATTGGGTCAACCTGTCAACAAAGGCAATATTGTGTATGCTTTGATAAGTACTGTAATGGTCTAATAAGAGAGGAAAAATGGAATAATAACACTTTAATGTTGAAAATGTGAATGTGGCTCTTATTCTTATGAGGAAAGTCATAAGTCATTAATGATGTGCAGAGCTACAGAGGCAACCTGACCTTTATGTTGTCAATCAGTTCTATATAGACTTCTGAATTAATAATCATATTTTAGCCACTCATGTCTCATATTCAAGATGTAGTACCAATATCATATCACAAAATGTTAGAGGAGGCAATATAATAAACAGATTCTGTATTGCTCCTTTTTCCAGAATGAAGGTGCTCGCATGAGTGTCTGTGTGCGCCCATTTGTGCCCTGTTCATGTTTGAAGGATCTTACGCTTTCCTCATTGCAGAGACACCAGAGGAGAGCGCACACACACAGTTACTTTTATGCAAACGTGCATGTACACTCACAAAAATGATCCTACCAACACATGCATGCCCACCCACAGAGCCACATAAGAAGAGAACCAGAGGAAGAACAAAGCTAGTAAAAGCTGCTTTAATCCTGACTTAATGACAGTGAATCCAGTCATGTGCAGCAAGGTACCCACACACGCACAAAAAGCACAAATACACACAGACGACAAACATTCTAGGCTAGTTAACACAGGGGCAACATGAAGACAGTGGTCGACATGATGGTTTGTTCATTGTCTGTCCACCTAGACGGCAGAATGAGCTCATGCACAGAGCAGCAGTGTACAAGAGCTAATAGTGTTAAATGTCATGAGACATCACAATGCTAAACACTGCTGTCCTCTCTGCATCTGCCCCTCTCATTAGTACATTAAAAAGAGTTATGTAAGGCTGCTCAACCCACAGCTACAAAGACAAACACGGTTATGCAAGTCCCCAGACCAGAGGTCGCCAACCTGCGGCAATGGAGCCGCATGCAGCATTTTAGCAACTCTCCATTGGCTCCCTGACGGTTTGACAAAAAATTCTGTGGGTATAAATAACATTAATTTTTTATTTACTTTTATTATTGCTGTAGGCCTTTAGGGATACTCCATTCTCCATTTGTAAATTGTGAAAGCTTTTTCAACTTTAATTTGAATCATACATTTGTCTACGACCAGGGGATAAGTGAGGCCTTGAGCTAGACCCTGTTTACACCTGGTGTCAACATGTGGTTCCACAGCTTTGATCACAAGTTGACAGCACTTGAGTAAGAGTGTTCACACTTGTCTGGTGCATACGCATATAAGAAAGTCCATACATCATTTACGTTTGAAAAGACCACGCGTCATGGTTTTTACCCGGTGGAAGGCAGCATTGTTCACTCAGGTCTCAGACTGTTACTGCAGATAAGGTCACTTGAGTGGGCGGTCCTTAATGAGGCCCAGGAGCTTTCACAACAAGGTTATTATCGCTTCAGAAAAAACTGACGTAACATTGTAAACTAAAATGTAAAATATATTTCCCTTAAGCAAAACTCAGATAAAAAAGAGGCTTCACGAAAAATGGATAATTGTGTTTGACACAAGCACACAGAGTGACACAGCCTATCCTTTGGTTTCGTGTTAGGCCTGTTGGTTCAATTTTTGGATGATTCATACAATCGCATATAATACATTTTTATTTACACATGCTGCTCTTTTAATACAAAAACAATATCCTGTTTAATTTTTGCTTTTGAAGAACACTGCCATTTTTAAGTGTGTTGAAGAAAATCCATTCTGTTTGATGATGTGGATGGATCACTATCTGTTTATGTTGATAGCGGGGAGTGAAAGATCGCTGCTGGTCGAGCTATGCAGCCGGAGACGCCCTGTGCTGTCATACGAGCTTGTCTCAGCATGACAAAAGATAATTTTAAGACAAGCAGACCAGGCAGGTATATTCTGCACAACTTCCTGTATTTTGGATTTTTCATTCTCAAATGGAAGTGCTTGTACAGATATGAAATAAGATGCAGCTCTCTCAGCAGAAGCTGTGTCAGTCACCGTGGATGAGATCGTATATGAAAGATGGACTTACATCTTTGAGGTTAACTGACTTGTGTGTGAAATGTAAATATGTCCTTTACCTGTTGCCCCCCCCTTGTCCCCTCAACAGAACACTGCACAGAGCCATCAGCTACTGCGCAAATGAACATAATGTGGTTGCGATTGCACCGGTGCTAGTTTGACAAGCAGGCGTAGATCCACAATTTTTTTTGTGCACGAAATAGCAAAGCAAGGAGGAAAAATGCTTCCAGACCAACTCTGTATGTGGTACGAGTGATGGGACCTCAATGCGTCACATTAGGATTCATTCACACCTAGCATTAAGGCTGTCCACTTCTGATACGATCACAGAGAAGTGATGCTACTGAAAGGTGAAGCTCACAAAGGGCTGTTCATTCCCTCCATTCAAAGTAACCCCCTTTCTGTTCAGCTCAATATGGCTCCACGCTTGACACTGATCTCAAGTTACAAGCAGAAAATTACTTTATGAGAAAGTATGTTTTGGCAAGTTGGCATTTTATAAATGAACTGAATGAACAATAACTTATATTGTATGTCTCATTCTTAGAGCAAAGGGTTTAATGTCCATGTATAACCTCTGACTGAACTGGGCTTCAGTCACAATGAACTTACACCTCTGGCCTATTTGTTATTTCTATAACATTAATTTGTACAGATATGTTGAGAACTCAAAAAATGTAAGCACAGCTCCTGAAAATGACAGTATTTCACACATATTCCTGTGGAGTGTGTCTCCTCTTTACAACTGTTCATGTTTTTGTATTAGCATCTCCCTGATAAAAATAACACAAAGCAAACAAACAAATAGAGTAAATGCAAAGTCAAATAATCATGAATACGGCCTCCATTTCATTCAAGCCACTAGTACCTTTGAAATGAGCCTCTTTCAACTCTTATACACGTACACTCTCTCACACACACACACTCTCTCACACACACACACACACACACACACACACACACACACACACACACACACACACACACACTGCGCAGGGCACTGGGTGGGAGCTTCCCCGGGCTCCTGTCTGACGCTGTGCTGTAGCAGCTGCTCTGGGCCTCTGGCAGCTCCCCCTTCTCCCGCAGCATGGCGGTGGCTGCAGAGGAAATGATGCCCACCCCATCCCGCACTCGTGTGTCCAGAGGGTACTCCCAGTCATCATAGGACACGGAGATCATACCTAGGGGAAACATCTGAGAGGAGAGCAGATGAGATCTGAGAAATGGTACATCTGGTGTGAAAGATTCAATTTCACATTTTTAGCCCAATTTAAAACATCCATATGTATCTTTCAAAGGTGTCAAGCAAATGACTTACTGGTTCCATGTGCCTTCCTATAATAACTCAGATCTAGGTTTTAAATAAGTGTTAGCAGACTGGATGTTCACAATCTGAAATCATTCCCTCATTCAGGTATCGTCTATCTTGGATCTGTCAAAAGGAAAATGTTTGAAAAAAGAAATGGCTCACTAAGTGTATCTCTCTAAACCAGACTGAACAAACATCCAAAAATGCCAGCACGCTAGTCTGTCAATCACGAGCGTTTTATTTTTTTGCTTTAATTTGGCTCCAACTTTAGAATTAGATCTCTGTCTAAGAAAGAAAACAGAGGAATGAAAACACTACACAAAAGGGAAGAATGAAGAATACGGAAGGGAGGTGAATAAACATTTTAGAGGCTTTTACAAAAGGTAAGGAAATACTGGATGTGTCTCAATTTTTTATGTGAGAGGAGAAATTGAGCTGATTATACATTATAAAATGCATATTACATTTTAGAGGGAATTTGCATTTAATGCTGTTAAACTTCCGTTTAAAGTGATAATCAAGTGTCTTAAGTAAATAAAGAAAAACGACATGGAGAAGTTAACTAAAAATAGGATATATTGGGAATCGGTGTTCCCTAGTCACTATAATGAATCAGTATTCAGTCTTTGACTTAAGTCCAACTGTTTTGGAGATATACTTGTTTACTATGAAGATTGAAACTACTCTAAAATCTTTCTGTATAACATGAGGCTGGCTGCTTTTTAGCTTACCTGACCGCAAAGACTGTAAACAAGGGGGAACAGCGAGTCTTGCTCAGTCAGAAGGGCACAAAATGCCCACCAGCATCTTTAAAGTTCACTTATATACATGTCATATCTTGTTAGTTTAACTTCAACAAAAACAGAGTCGAAAAATAAAAGGCTGGTTATGTGCGTATCTATTGTCTACAGCAGTGGCTATAAGTATACGCCTGTACATAATATCATGAATAGCAATCTTTTTTTTTTAATTGATTTTAAATTTAATTTGGTGGGATGCTGGTAAGTAGACTATTCCTCAGATTGTTCCCTCTGCTTTCTTAATGATAAGATAACAGATAGCAGGGATCTTGCTGTTTAGAGGCAGACATAAATAGAATAAATGTCTTGTCTCATTTTTCTCCCAGAACAGAATAAAGAGATTTCCCAATATGTGGAAGCTACGCTTATAAAGTTGTATTTTATACAAATTGCATAGAAATAAAGAGAAATCAAGGAGAGACCACAGATAACCTGACAAATCATGAATTAAAAACACTGCTCATCTTGATAAACTACTCAAAAATGGCCACCTGTTGCTACATATGGGGCCTCTGTACCTCAGGGGTGAAGTCTGGGTTGCCAGTTGTTAGACTGGACACAATCCAGATGTAACCGGCTCCTATCAGGCCCAAAGATCGAGCTTCTTCTAGTATATATCTGTAGAGGGACGGAGTGAGAGCATCAGTAAAGATTCACTACAGGAATGTGGCAGTATGTTACACAGAAAACGTTGAGAACACTTACATAGCCTCATCCTTCGAGCAGTACAGCAGTATAACGGGACTCTGGATCCTCTTCAGGGCAATGTGTGATTTAGAGTTTGGGTCTCCGTCTATAGCATCCAGAGTCACTACACTCTGCAGGTCCCAGCGCACAAAGCTGTACCAACACACCATTAAATTATACAAGGTGCTTAATCCTGTCAGCTGCCGTAAATAAAGGTAAAGGATGAAAACAGAGAGTGCGTGTTTAAATGTTTCGGAGTGTATTCATTACCTGTGATCCACAGTTGTCTTCAGTGTGCTGATAAACCCCTGGTACCCGGGGAACTTGGAAGTGACAATAGAAAAAACATGCCAGTCATACTCCTCCATGATGGAAAGCATGAGCAGAGCCTCCTGCTGCAGAGCTGCGCCGAACTGGAAGAACGTGGACTTCTCATCCTGCAACGACAGAGAGGCCCACATCAGAGACAGTCAGCATATTTGTCTATAGAAGCGAATTCATTGCAGAAAAGCAAAAGGCAAAAAACAAAAGCCTCAGAGACTCGAAACCTCGACGGAATTAAAACAATTTGCAAATTTGCAATCAGTGAGTCAGACGTAGAGAGTGAGGGAGATAAGAGAGGGTGTTAAGTGCTTGAGAAACTAAAGAGCAGAGCGAGAAGATGGGGAAAACAGGATGGGGAGAGATACTGAGAGATTTAGAGAGACTACGCTGCCTTTATAACAACAGTTGGGCATTGTCTCTAGCTAATTACCAAATACCAAATACAAATCCTCTACCTGCGCCTCAGTGGTGCTGTATTATTAGATTGGCTTGTTTTCATTGTAAAAACATCGTAGTCATGAATGCTGAACATGCATTTTTTTTTTGGGCTACATAAGCCCTATTCACACAGGATTAGTATTTCCTGGGGACCTCTGGTAATTTAGGACTTACCCACAATGTCAGTGTTTGGTGTGACACATTTGCACAGGATAAGCAAAGCCTGTAATTTACTTCTATTTACTGACATTCTGATTAACCACTTTGAGGCTCTATATGATAACCACCTTGTCTCTAGGGGCAGCATCACGCTACAGGGTACAGCCTGCCGGACATTTATTAGAAGAAGAAGATGTCCAAATGCATTTCACTTACCCTTCTACAAAAAAAAAAAACAACAAGCGCTATATTTGCACGTAGTATGCTGTCTAAAACCTTCATTTACAATGTCCAGCACAGCCTCCGTTATTCTCGAGCGGAAAAATGTCTGCCCAAATATTACTGACAAGCGGATTGCAAAGTGGATTACTATTATCAGAGGACCTCTGTGTGCTGATATGTAATTTGCCCTAGTATTTGACAGGACATGGTGGATTCGCACAGGATTAAAAACACACACATCCTCCGCAAATATAAGAAATGGTGGTCCCCAGGAAATACTATACTACTACTAACTACTACTACTCCTACTATAAGCTGTGGCTTCAGATCATTTAAAAACATGGATTCATCGTGTCATGTACAGTGAAATCATTTAGTCTCAGTATTGGGAGGAACCAGGAGGTCAGTGTGTGAGTAGTAGGACAGAGCAGTATTACAGCAGCTATTAAACAAAATGAAACCCAAAGTGAGTGTGAAATAAGGTGCTAATCATTGCAGAATGTATGTTTGCATAGTTTGTAAAGTGAGTTTCCCCCTCGGGACACAACAAACAGACAGCAGAGCAGCCCATCCAACAGAGAGGAGAGATAAGTGCAAAGAGAGAAAGGAGGCGAAGGAGGAGGAAGAGTAGACTGGGAGAGAGTAAAAGGAGTAAAGTGTTGCAGTTTTGTGAACGAGATTAAAATACCTGCTGCATGAAAAGGTGGAAAAAACACAGAGAGAGAGTTGTGGAAGAAAAATGTAGAGGCAGAAACATCAGACCTTCTCACAGGGTCCCTCTTTTTCACCCACACACACACACACAAATCAAGTGCACACCTACATGCTCTGACACCTTTTCCGCAGAGGGCATCAAAGAACGTGACACATTAAACATCAAAGCCCTCATAAACACACATGGAGAATCAGCTGTCAGCTCCTGTCTCTCTATCCTCCCTTCTCCACCTTCACATGTGTGAAGGTGTGTGTGTGTGTGTGTGTGTGTGTGTGTGTGTGTGTGTGTGTGTGTGTGTGTGTGTGTGTGTGTGTGTGTGTGTGTACAGCATATTTACACGCATGTAAACCGAGTCTTGATCGTCAGTCCGAAAAGAAGCCCTCAGCTGCATCACACAAATGCAGCGGGCCATGCAGAGATTAAGCATGCCTTCCTTCAACCCATGAAAAGGAGAGGAAGGTGGAAAAGAGAAAGGAGGAAATTGTACTTCAAAAAGATCTATCTCACTGTTCCCATCTGAGTGCGGGTGTGTGTTTGTGTGTAACTGTAGGTGTGTGTGGCTTTACACATTACTTAGGTTTAGAAAAAGGCACAAAACAAGAAATAATCTCACTGTGTTGCAACAGGCACATCCTCAGTTATACCCAGATAACACAAACACTCAGGCACAGATACTAAAAACAGACAAACACCCACTCCCTCCCTTGCACACACAGTTTAAGTATACAAATATTTGCACATACAAATCAATACTGAAGAAATCGCTGGATTTCAATGGCAAAGCAATTAATACATAATAAGACAATTACAGTTTTCACAATTATATGGGTCATCTGTACACTTGATTCTGATTGTGCAGTAATGACATTCTATGGTTTGTAATCGTACAGCTCCTATAAATAACAGAATGAGGCAATGGATCCAGTTCTGAAGATTGATCACATCTGTACTAGTAAGTCTGTTAGCCAATTTAGTGTGGAGAAAAGGAAACATAGAAAAAGAAAGAAAAAAGAAAATCATGAAAATGTAAGATGAGAGACACAAAGCAAATATTAAACAGAACAGGCAAGATCTATGGCACAGTTTAAAGACCGGTCATTGGGAAGGAAAAGGACTGAAACAGACTTTGTCATTTACGGGTCAAATAAGCCTTTATCAGGAGCTCCGGTGAGTCATGCAATCCCACTGCACTTCGCTTTGTCTCACTTCAGCATCATTGGAAAAGTGCAGTTTAATGTGAGGTCTAAAAGCTAAGTACGCTTTTAAAGAAGGCTTAAGAGTTTACTACTGCTTTGGATGCAGTTTCAATTGCAGATCTTTTTTCAGTGCAAAAATATATATTAAATATATAAAGATTTATTAGTCTAATATTAGTGTCATGAATAGTATAATGATATGATTGCAGAAATAAACTCTTTATAGGTGAAAAAAACCTCTAATTTGTGTCGGTATCCTGAATCCCCTTGATGAGGTTAATACTTCGCCATAAAATTCTGTTTATTTATGACTTTGTAGTACTCTTCATTCAGATCATGTCCACAAGTTGTACAGGAGAAAAAACACATTACCCAGATTATGCAAACCACATTATTCAGAGGTAAAATGCAGAGCGAGTGCACACAAATCCAGTGTTGGTGACTGGACTACTGAGCATGCCAGGGCATCCAGATGAACGGCTTATCAAGCCGTGTGGGGCCAGTCAGTGCAGTTTAACTTAAGTAGATAAGTATCGGCTCTTAGCTTGGGTGAGAGGAGAAATTCAAGGACAGTTTAAAGGTGCAATGGGTCAAAGAATGGTGTGGAAAAGCTATCTGATGACGCTAGTAATTATATGTTGGTCTTGTGGCGCTACAGAGCAAGAGCAGGGATGGTGGCTGGACTATTGAGCGGGGCCATGATATACAGATTAAACTGCTTATCAAGCCAGTGGGGCCAGCTTATTTAGGTTGGATACGAAGTAGAAACTTGAAAGGCAGATACTGAGAGCACTGGCCTTCACCAAAGCCAATAGTACAGACATTTGTTAAATGAAATCAGTAATATACAAATGAATATATGCCTCTAACTCTATCAGAATGATGTCTGATGCTTGGTATGAAAGGCATCATGAACCTGCAGCTATCAAAGCCAAGTTATTACAAATTGTAAGCTTACAGTATACTGTAGCAAGTTTGAGCGATTATAATTATCTTACAATTGGGTAATCAGGATTGCGACTCAGATCCTGTTTAAAAAGAATGTGTCTTTCCTTAGCAAATGCTGTAATCAATGGAGTGTCATGAAATTAGTGCCACAAGTTTTCTTTAATTTAGCTCCTGGGCTGAGGTTATACGTCCTGGTCCAGTTGCCAAATACCTGCTCTTTAGTTG